GTTCTCTTTTAAGGTTATGACTAATAAGTAGTCCTCTTGTATTATTATAATGAGATTGAATCTCGTTAATTTCTTTCATTTCAGAATATGTCTTTTTAACTTTTGTCTTGATTGTACGTTCATCTTTAGCCATTGTCTTCATTTTAGATTTATTCTTTGTCTAAGTATAAAATACAAATAACTAAAATAAATGATATAATTTATTATAATTAATTATTTTCTGAGAAAAAAATCAAAAAAAAATCTTAAAAAAACCCTTGAACTTGAATTGTTGATTCGACTGAATGACTAAAGGAACCAGTTGCAGAGGTACTAGACATAATAAAACTCATATTCTTTGCAAGAGATGCGGAAAAAGATCATGGCATTTACAAAAACAAAGATGTGCTTCATGTGGATATCCAGATGCTAAAATGAGACAATATGCTTGGGGATACAAAGCCCTTAGAAGAAGAACCCAAGGAACTGGAAGAATGAGACATTTAAAAATCGCTTTAAAAAGAACAACTAAAGCTTAATTAATTAAAATAAAATGTCGTTCTATGTCGAACGGGGAGAATACTTTTTAGACTTTTAATTTTTTCTTTTTAATAAAACAAAATAAAATGAATTAATAAAATTGAATTACTAATAATTGAGAAACTTTAAAAGGTTCTCTATCTCCAGTTAATATATCATTTGTTATTCCTTTATAATAATTACAAATAGGATTAAAAGAATATCTGCTCATTCCATCAAATGAAGATTGAATTAGAATATCATCATCTCCAATTGAATAAAAATATTCATCATCACGAATTTTAAAAGCAACTTTCCAATTCTTTAAAAATGTCATTTTTTTAATTTTATACCATTTCATTGATGAAATAACTCTGTTATGATTTTCTAATGAAAAAATGAAATGGTCTTCATCATAAATATCATTACCTTTTATTATCTTTTGTTTTATATAACATCCAAAAATATCTCCTTTATCTGTGTAATGAAGAAAAACTAGATGCTCTTTTCCAAGGATTAGTTGATTAAATAAAACTCTTTCCCATCCATCTGTTTGACTATCAAATAATAGTCTTGAATTATTCAATCCAATCCAATTTGTTAATTGAGTTTCATTTTCAATAATTTGTTTTTTTCCACCAAATTGAATAAATTTCATATATTCATTTGATTGAATTTGAAATTCTAAAAAACTTTCATCTTTCATTTTTACATATGAATAAAGTATATCATTTTCATTTTCAATTTTAGTTAATTCATTTAATTTTTGAGTTCTAAGAGAAATTTCAGTTAATACTTTTCTTTTATTATCTTCAATATTTTCATATTGTACTTGAGTTTCTAATTCAATTTTTTGTTTTTTTAAATTAATTTCTGATTCAATTTGATAAATTTTATGATTAAATAATTGTTTAATTCTTTGAATTTCATTTTTTTCTTCTAATTGAAGTATTTGGATTTGGTTTTGTTTATATTTAATAAGTTGATTTAATTTAAATTCTTTTTCAATATTAATTTGATTAATATCATTTTTAAAAGTGTTTTCTATTTGATTTTGCATATCAATACATATTTCTTTAATTAAAACTTTAGTTTTTAAAAGGAGTCTTTGTAATACAATTTTTAATTCCAAATACTCTTTATTAATTTGTTTTTCTTTAGAAATATAAAATTGACTATTTTTATTAGCAAATGAAATAAGGTTTTTTAATTCAATTTCCTTTTTATTTTTAAGAAGAAGAATATCAGCAATAAATTCTTCTAATTGATTAATTTGTTCTTTTTTATCTCCTTTTAATTCTTTTTCAAATACTTTCCAATCAAAAGATGGTTTTTGATATTCATTTTCAACTTTTAAACAAATAGTTTGTATTTGTTGTTTTAATTCAGTGAGTTGTTTTTTTATTTCTTTATCTGAAGTAATAGCAATAAAATAATCTACTTCCATTCTTTAAAGAAATCTTTCTTATTTGAATGAATTGAAGTTCTTTTAAATCAATTACTTCAAATAAATTTGAACTTTCAAAAAAGAGGAATTTTCTTAATAAAATAACCTTTAAATAAAATATAAAAACTATGACTTTGGCTCTTTCAATTATTATTTTCTAATAACCATTGTATCATCTCCATCATCACTGTCATCTTCTTCAGTATCATCTTCTTCCTCTTCTTCAGTATCATCATCATCTTCTTCTTCTTCAGTATCATCATCATCTTCTCCCTCATCATCATCATCATCTTCTCCTTGTTCAAGAGCTTTCTTTCTAGAACCAAATTCAGCAATTACTTCATTTTCTTTTTCGATTAAATCAGTAATTCTTTTACGATTTCCATTAGGTTTCATAAAATCACATTTTAATAATTCTAAAGCAGATGGTCGTTCTCTAAAATTTTTTACACAACACAAAGCAATAAAATCATTAAATGCTTTAGATACTTCTTCAGGTGTACTTAAAGTAGGTGGTGGTCTATTAGGAATTAAGAAAATTGCTCTCATAGCATGAAGTTCTGAATGTGGTGGTCTTCCATCAAACATTTCAATTGCAGTTATACCAACTGACCAAATATCAGCTTTTTCATTATGTCCACTTTCTAAAATAACTTCTGGTGCCATCCAATAAGGAGTACCAATTAATGTTTTTTGTAATTTATTTGTTCCACCCATCTTTGTTGACACTCCAAAATCAGCTAATTTACATACTCCATCATCACTAACTAAAATATTTGCTGCTTTAATATCTCGATGAATCATATGCATTTTATGAAGATATGCAAGACCATGTAATGTATCTTTTAATATAATTTGAATTTCTCTTTCATCTAATGTTGCATTTAATATATGCATAATATCACACACACTTCCTGCTCCACAAATTTCCATTACAATCCATAAATCTTTATCTACAAAGAAATGACCAAAAAATCTAACAATATAATCAGTATCACATTGTTTCATTAAAACAATCTCTTTCTCTACATCAGTAGTATCTCCATCAATTCTAACTGTTTTAACTGCAGCATGTGTTCCAGTTGGTCTATGAATAGCATGAAATACTGATCCATATGAACCTTCTCCTAATTTTTCTACTACTTCAAAATCTTTTGAACATTCTGCAACCCAGTTTATCTTTTGCATTTGAGAAACTTGAAGTTTAGTTGGTGTTGTCATTCTTTCCTATTTTGTCTTATCAGATCTTTTTTTCTTTTTTCTTTTTTATGGTTTTTTATTTGAAGTTCCTTTTATGTAAAATACTATATTTTATAGTTTTTTTACTATTTTTATTAATATTTATGATTGTATTTTTATTTCGACTAATTCTGTTCTTCTGTTGAACCGACGTAAAACATCATCCTCCTCGTTATGTAAAATAACCTTTTCACTTAGTCTTTATCCTCCAACTTATACTTGTCTTTTATAAAATAATTGACTAACTTAAAAAACCTTCAAAAATAAAGTTGAAAATCAATTACAAAAGGATGTAAAGA